ACAATGCAGGAGATATCTGGGACAGAGAACAGTTTGATTACATAGAGATGGGTTTTTACAAGACAAAAAATGTTCTCCCTTCTCTTGCATTGTGTATTATAACCTGTGACACATTCAATATTGAGTTAAACAACTTAATAATATAATAGAACTATCATAGAAAATGTCATTATTATTTAAAGGTGCAATACAATTCTGTCATTTTTTCATCTTCTTGTGGTTGCAAACTTTGATTCTTCAATGGAGCACAAAATTAGATTTTTAGCAGAATGTCCTGGCAGCTCTTTTCCATTTAGCAAAAGTAAATGGGAACAGGTCTATTAAGTTCACAAAATGACGAAAAAGCACCATAAATGTATCAAAACCCATGTAATATATATTTAAAGTTTTTGGAAATCATACTATTAAAATGGAATGATTAAATTATTATTTTTTTTTAATTCTCAATTTTTTATTTTACAATTAAATATTATAATAGTATCCCTTATTGTGGTTTTAATTTTTATATTTAAAAAAAATACACAATTTTCAAAGATTTTCAAATTGTGCAACCCTAATGTGAATCAATGTGAAATCTGGTATCATGCATTGTGAAATGGCTTTTTCCACCCCCAATCACATTTGTTATACGAAAAATAGCAGCCAGGACAATCTGCAAAATAATTCATTTTTAACTAATTAATTCAGTCCCATTCTATTTGGCAAACAGTAGAATATGTTTAGTATTTAGTATATGTGTGCATACTGTATATTATTCTGTTAATATTTGTGAGAATAATGAACCGTTTAAGAACATTAAGTTGTGTTTTTCTTCTTGATATGATTTGATAAAGACACTTTACAAATGTTTTTGGATTCCTCCAATGTCTCCTCCATTAATTGAGAACAGCACTGAGGCTCTTTTCATTGTTTACGTCGATGTGGTGCAGACTCCCAAAACTGCTGACTTTATCCTTTTGTAATTTTCCCATTGATTGCTTGTTAAAATGGTGGATTATGCTTTTAAAATTTATGCTGTAAACCTTTTATTACAGAAAAGTGAAAGTGTTCATACTAAGCACTAGAATGAAGACAAAAATACTGTAACTATGCTGTTCTCTGTTCTAAGCATGTGTCTACAAGCACAAACTCTTTGGCCATCATTTGTGTCCTTCATTCAGACAGCATGTCATCTGGCATAAGTATTTCCAGCAGACAGCGTCTCTGCAGCCTAGCCAGATTCGGATCAAACTACAAGCCAAAACCGCAAGCAATTGCAATGCTTTCAGTACTGTTGAGGATTAATTTAAAACAACTATTTATTAAATCTTGCCATGAATTTGCTTTTGTCCTTACCTCTGAGGATGCAATCCTGATTTTTTTCTTTGGCTCTCAACAAAGCAGGCCAGATGTCTGTCCTCCTTGATTCAGAAATTCCTGTTAGGATCACTCGCCCGTCTCTAAATTGAGTCCTGAGAGAGCAGTCCGGATCTGTTACTCTGACTCAGGGACAGAGGGACAGCGTCAGAGCCACTGTTAGGATGCCAAAACAGCAGGTTTACATTTGATGTTCTGATCTTTCAGTCAGGGAAGTTCAGGCCAAGCTCCTCAGAGCTGTGTGTAGTTCATTATATGCAGGAAAAAACATCAGATTTCATCAAAACAGTGCCAAAACAGTCCTAATGAATTCATTAATGGATGAAGGAGAAAAGCACTTCAAAAACGTGCATTTTAAAAGTCTATTCAATACGTTCCAAAGTGCTGAAGGCATTTAAAAGGTTAATTTGTTAGCATTAATGAATTCGATATAATGAACGATCAACATTAATTGACATTTCTTAAATTATACTATAATTCAATGTTAATTCATGTTCATGTAAAATGCATTAAGAGATTACTTCACCAAAAATTAAAATTTGCTGAAAATGTACTCACCCTCAGACCATCTAAAATGCGAGTTTGTTTCTTCATCAAAACAGATTTGGAGAAATGCAGCATTACATCACTTGCTCACCAATGGATCCTCTGCAGTGAATGGGTGCCATCAGAATGAGAGTCCAAACAGCCGATAAAAACATCACAATAATCCACAAGTAATCCAAACCACTCCAGCCCATCAATAAATATCCTGACATAAAAATCCATCATTAAGCTGTTTTTCTTTTCTAACTCTTGCTTCCAGCTAAAATATGAGTCCTCTATCTATAATTTAGCTTTCTCCAGTGCAAAAAGTTAGAATCAGGAGAAAAATATGCACAGATCAAGTGCCATTTACAAGCGAAAACAGACCAGTTCTAAACAAATGTCGGTGGATTTTGATGTGAGAGGACAACAGGGCATGGACTTTGTCCCTCTTTTCTTTGATGAATTTAAATGAATTTTCTTATAAACACTTGTTAATTGATGCACTGGAGTGGTGTGGATTACTTGTGAATTATTTTGATGCATTTATCAGCAGTTTAGACTCCTATTCTAACGGCACCCATCACGGCAGAAGATCCATTGGTGAGCAAGTGATGTAATGCTAAATTTCCCCAAATCTGTTCTGATAAAGAAACCACTTTCATTTTAGATGGAGTACATGTTCAGCAGATTTTCTATTTAGAAATGAACTATGCCTTTAAATGGCAATGTATACTGTACAACTGGCAATGTTTACATAGAGATTACTCAAAGCTGTGTTCACTGTTAAGTAATGTTGAAAAAAAATTCCTTATACACCAGTCTAAATGGAATCTGCAGACTTTTCTTGCATTCTCTGTGCTGTTAGGGGAGAATCTGTGGAATGGACTATTTCTTAAAACAGATCTGAGAATATGGAAGGTGAACGAATCACTCAATTAATTTAAAATATTACACAAGTAGATGCATAGAACCTTTGGAGTTTTAAATCTGTGGAGCTTTCTGTGAAGTTCTGCAGCACATATGCCATGTGGGTCTTCTTGGTGCATGACATGCTCCATATACAATGTTCATTCACACTATATATAACACAGCACAAATTCCTGTGTCCAGACATTTGAAAAATTGTCAGCACTTTATAAATCAATGAAGAGAAAAGCAATTCCTGATGGAAACCACAGTTGTTATTAATTAACAGATAAGAAAACACATTCAGTGCAGGAAAGCATATGCTAGTCAGATCGCATCAGACATTACAGTAGACTGACCCCTGATGGCCAATCCACTCTATTACAACTCTAGAATACAACAAAAGCACATGCAAGGAATTACAATTTAACACTTAAACACTGTTTTTTGAGTTGCATTTATTTATTACTCTTCATACGATACATCACTGTACCACTGCATATATTCTGAAATATATTTTCATTATAAAATAGGGATTCTACAATCAAGGTTCAGATATAATAAAATGCTCTGAAGGATCATAGCAGACAATAATGATGCATCTTTAAATGAAGTGCAGGATATTTTGGACTTGCTGTAATTTGATTCAGGGCAACTCAATGAATCAAATTTGACACGTGGGTTTGTATTTTCTCCAGAAATAATTTCATCTCGCTGGGCCAGAAAGATTAATTATCGTGGAATGCTTTCTTCTGAAACACACTGGGAAAACCTTGGGCCCAATTTGGACATTTTCACTTAGGGGTGTACTCACTTTTGTGGCCAGCGGTTTAGACATTAATGGCTGTGTGTTGAGTTATTTTGAGGGGACAGCAAATTTACACTGTTATACAAGCTGTACACTCACTACTTTACATTGTAGCAAAGTGTCATTTCTTCAGTGTTGTCACATGAAAAGATATAATAAAATATTTACAAAAATGTGAGGGGTGTACTCACTTCTGTGAGATACTGTATATATATACATATATACACACACACTTTAATTGTCATCTCACATACCAGACCACCCTCTCCTTTAAAAACAAAACAGCAAAACAACCACTAAGCAACTAATTGTGCGCACATATACACGGAAAAGGTGCCAAACCAGGCTCATATCATGGTCCGGGTTATGGATGATTGCTCGATTTGTAAGTTTGATTGTTCATAAGGAGTTTTGAGCTAGTAAGCAAGATAGAAACACACTTTGGAAAAGTAACTGCACACAACAGCTCGATATATCCTAAAAAAGAAGGAAATACACATGTGCTTTCCACTGTCTTCTCTCAACAGTTTGACACACTATTATGCAACATCATAATTCTCTTTTTCTTAGTGTTAACGTTGCTTTCAGCAGGTCAGTGTGGAAAACAAAACGCTGGGTATGAAACACATTAATGCTTGCCGTGGAATTTACAACAGCACTGAACTGCACTAAATTCACTTGGATATATAGACGGATTACGAAAGTGTTGAACCTGCTTATCTAAACTAATACAAACCAGCCAAACTAGTAAATAACCCAAGAAAGGGTGATTTGCCTTTGTATATAAACATTCGTTTTCCATTATGCTTTAATCTTATTCAAGTTTATAAAATACTACTCTGCTTTATATAAAATTAAACTGGCTAAAGTGACAGGACTTCTAATATACATCCACTGAGTATTTATATTCATGTGTTGTTTAAGAAAAATAAAAACTACAAAAGAATAAAATTAGAGCGTAAAATTAAACCTGAAACATATAGAACACACTGTACTCATACTGTACAACAACACTTTGGACTAGGTAACTTAGACAGACATATGCAACCATACAGAGTTAGAATAACAAGCTTTTTTAACAAGGAATTTAAAACAACGATTCCTGGATGCTACATCTCTAGCGCTACCTGACATGCTAACAAGACGAGAGTGCAGAATAGGGTTGCAAAGGGAGGGAAAGACTTTCCCCATCAAGTTTTTTCAGAAATGTACAGTACGTCACTGTCAATTTACATGAATGTTGCAACCCTCACATCTTTATTGGACCTGGACTAGGGAGAACAAGACGCAAATGACAAAAATACATAAAATTCTCAACTATTTTCTGCATTAATCTGATGTGGCTCGATAGCAAATAAAGTATTCTACGTTTTTTATGTTCAACAGCACTGAACTGCACTAAATTCACTTGGATATATAGACGGATTACGAAAGTGTTGAACCTGCTTATCTAAACTAATACAAACTAGCCAATCTAGTAAATAACCCAAGAAAGGGTGATTTGCCTTTGTATATAAACATTCGTTTTCCATTATGCTTTAATCTTATTCAAGTTTATAAAATACTACTCTGCTTTATATAAAATTAAACTGGCTAAAGTGACAGGACTTCTAATATACATCCACTGAGTATTTATATTCATGTGTTGTTTAAGAAAAATAAAAACTACAAAAGAATAAAATTAGAGCGTAAAATTAAACCTGAAACATATAGAACGCACTGTACTCATACTGTACAACAACACTTTGGACTAGGTAACTTAGACAGACATATGCAACCATACAGAGTTAGAATAACAAGCTTTTTTAACAAGGAATTTAAAACAACGATTCCTGGATGCTACATCTCTAGCGCTACCTGACATGCTAACAAGACGAGAGTGCAGAATAGGGTTGCAAAGGGAGGGAAAGACTTTCCCCATCAAGTTTTTTCAGAAATGTACAGTACGTCACTGTCAATTTACATGAATGTTGCAACCCTCACATCTTTATTGGACCTGGACTAGGGAGAACAAGACGCAAATGACAAAAATACATAAAATTCTCAACTATTTTCTGCATTAATCTGTGGCTCGATAGCAAATAAAGTATTCTACGTTTTTTATGTTCAAATCAACAAGTCTCAGGGTGTACTTGACTACACTATATATAGGTCTCACATGTCTATTTGAAGGCTGTATGTTTGATGCAAGAAGTTCACTAGAGTTACTGACTTTTTGCTATGTAAGTTTTCAACGTGTCTCATGCAACTCTGAAGGAAAAATTTGTTAGGTTACGTATAACATATAGCTTAAATGACCTGCAGCGTCCTGGCTAATGTTTTATTTAAGCCATGTCTTCTTAACAAGTTTACACACTTTCATTGCTAAAAGTGCTTCAGGGAGCTGTAACAATCTAATCACTATTAAACAACAGTTTAACATACACCATCTATTCTCTCAGGATAAGATAAAAGACATCTTGAGAATGCTGTATCGCATGAGAAATGCCCTAACAAGTAACCAATAACAATTTTTTAGGACTATTTCTGGCATTATAGGGTTTCACAACATATATTGGGGGCTCGTCCGGGATACCAGAAATTATCCAGTAAAAGTTTAACAGCGTAGGATCATTCTCACTCTCGTCCACAGCACGTCAACACATTCAAAGTCACGTTATGACTACTTAAAACTGGAATGTACCTGCTATCATTAGAGGAAACTTAGGATTTGCTTCATGCAGACAAGCATAACAACATCTCCAAATATCACATTTAACTTTGATTACTGCCCTAAGTTTAGCTCAAAGCTCAAACACAAATAAATTTAGCTGATAATTTAAGTCTGCAAGTGTCAATGTTAGCCTTGTAACTGAACTGCAAAGTAGATACTCAAACATCCATACATTTTGGTCTACAGGTCACTAAAATGCACTTTCCCATAAAAAAACCGCCCTCACTTTACAATTTCAGGCTCTTGTTGAAGAGTTTCTGCCAACAGAAACATGTCAGGCAATCTCTGAATCATACTGTGACATTTATCTCTCTAAAGGGACAAAATAAAAAAAGCTTTGGCCTATTGAGGCTATTTCCATCCAATGTTTTGATACCTCATTCCATTTTTCAACAGTGAAGAGTAAAGAGCCAACATCAATATAAACTCTGCCCACTTTCTTGAACAATGACTCATTGACATGTTCAAATGACCACAAGGATCACAAAGCTTTCACTAGACTAGTCTCAATCAAATACATGCCTAAACAGTCAGGCCAACACACACAGGAAGTCACTCTCACTCAATACCACAGTAGTGGGTAAGGCATGCTTGCTGGCTTCTGCAGCCCTCTCCTCTGCAACTGCACACTCATAAGGCCTGTAAACAGTCTCTTTCTTCCTGACAGCTTCAAGACAACCTGCTGCCACTGAGGCGGTAATTCTGAGATTCTCCTTTTAAACTTGGCAACTAAATCTAGTCTTTCATAGAAGAGCCAATAGGTACTCTAGCAGAAAGAAAGACAGCAAAGAGTTTCATACTTTTTAGCAACTACAGTTACAACATAGACTTGTCTCTGAGTGTACTTAAGCATGAAAGGACAGAAAGGAAATGAAGAAACAGAGAGAACAGCAAAGTCAGAGCACGAGATAGTCGAGACTGTACAAATCGAATGCCTCTCTGTCTCTCAGATGAGTCTCGCCTCGCCCTCCATCTCAGGTGGCAGCTCACACACTCCAGTGAAGTTCATCTCTTTCCCCTCCTTGCCGCCCTGACTCCCTGCTCGAGACCCAGTGTCACCAGGTGAAGGGTTGCTATGTGATAGTGTGTCGGGTGATGTTCGGTGTCCTGTCCCAGCACGTCTCTCCTTCAGGTAGCCCTCGAGACGTTTGAGAAACTGCTTGGGGTTCTTCTTAGCGAAGAGCTCCACTTCTGTGCATCACAGAGCAGAAAAAGGAAAGGTCAGGCTTTCTCTTTTTTCACTAGATAAACTCTCATGTTAAACACAAAGCTCTTTACCCAGTTTCCACCCGCCTTCACATTTCAACTGCAAAGATTCACCTGCTTTCTTGACGCATCGATTACAAAATTTGCCAAAGCACATGCACTGATCTTGAAACATGAATTTTTGAATCGAATTAATTGTCTTTTTAAAATGCTAAAAATTTTATAAAATGCGATTCAGTAAAGTACCTTTCAATATCCAGGGCTCTATGCTTATTTTTCTTTTTAAAATCCAACTTTAGGAGCACAGTCAAATTTAGCAGCACCTTCTAATCAATAATCCAAAATTTGATAAAAAATTTGCCTTCCCATTACGAGGTGATATTTGACTCAAAGTGATTTACAGTGGAATTTTGTTTTTACCTTTGTAATGGCATTTTTCTAACTTTATTAAAAGTGTGTCATCTTTTATGTCAAATATTTTAAAAAAATTATTTTATAAGCTTTTTAAAAATTCTAATTAAAACCACATAATAAGAACAAGCATAATAAGCAAAATAAGTTACTAATCAAATGAAATCAGTTTTAAAATTAATTTGTACAGAGGAGGCACAGAAGAACATAAAAGTGGCTTGTAGGTGTATTTTCAGACATTTAATGAGGATCAGAGGTGGCATGAGTGCAATTAAATCCATAAATTCATGTTAAGATTAATGTTTTAAAAAAATTATGAATATAGAAATATTAAATGATTTAAAGAACTGAAAAGATACTTTAAAAATGAAACTAAAACTGCCAGCAGGTGGCATCAAGTCACTGATTTTATCACTGAATCATTCATTCAATTGATTCATTCGAACGGCTGAATCATTCAGGAATGAAGCAAGTGACAGTATTTATGAATGGGTAATCATGAATCACTGACTCACTAGATTTGTTTAAAAATGCAGTTCATTCATAAACGAGACACCGCTGTGTTTGAATGGAGATGCGCAGTGGCTGAGCTGTGACTTTGTTTCAAACTATTTTCGACGACGAAATAGAGCAAAATAGTGTTATAATCAGACAAATTAAGTCACTTAATATTAATTTCTTGTTCGCACTGTAGAGCCCTGATATTTTAAAATATATAAACATTAAATTAGTGACAGGTTAATTAATGGAGTCATAGTGAGGCATAAGTCAATTAAACTACTGAAAATTATGCAGCGTTTCATTTTACATTTGATCATTCAATTTCTGTAGTATTTTTTACTTGAATCTTACTGTTATATTGTCCTACCTGAAAGACATTTGTATGTTTTACATTTGTAGCTTTGTTCTATTTGTGTACTTATCTGTTTTCTTGTTCTTATTTTATTACTGACTGCTTACTTACATTAAATTAGTATTAACATTTGCTGTAGTATCAAAATTGTTAGCAAGATTTAAAGTTACAACCTCACCATAACAACCTTATTTCCAGCAAAATTTGCTACAGCAAAAATCTAATTGGTTTGAATTTGCAAAAATTATTCCTGAATCAAATACATATGATTCACGGATCAAATCGACTTACTGTCTACAGAAAGATTCACACTCCTAATCTCAAGATCTATTCAGTATGCAGTAACTTTTACCCTAATGAATGACTGCGTGAACAATGTTAAAGCTAGCAAATCAGAATAGAGGGCATTTACAAGTAAAACCCTTAAAAGTACAGTAGCAAAAAATGCTTGTTTCATTCGAAGCGTCAGTGAGAGTGGAAAGTGGTTTTGGTGCAAACCTTTACTAGCATTTAGTGAACTTTAAGGGGAAAATAAATGATGGCCCCTTTAAATGATTTTGACCAAATGAGTGTTAATTAAAATCTATGCTGAAAGTCACTAAATGATACCCTGCACAAATACAACACTGTTCATTTGTAATTGAAAAATCACCTTTGAGTACATGGCCAGAGTCAGAGATGGTTTTCTGCTGGCTCTTCCACAGCTGATAGAGGTGCAGGAATGTTGCAACATAAAAATCATTCAGCACTGCCACGACCTGTTGCCTTCGGTTACACTCCCTATGTGACATCACAAAGCAACAAAATGTTTTATTGCCATGGAAACAACTGCAGAGGTTATGAAAGGCTACAGCAGATACCTCAGACAGAGGGCAAACACAGCCAAATCATTTCAAAGCTTGACAATATGTAATTAATACTGTACAAAATAAACACCAATTAATGTTCAAAAGCTGCAGCTTCCTACATTGTGAGAGAACTTACTTGGACAGCACTTCCTCCCTGAGAGCATGCAGGGCGATTCGCGTCATGTTGATTGACATCACACAGAACGGAAAATTCTGCAGGTGTTGAAAATGAGCATTTTATTGTCTTTGAACGATTTTGATAAGGTTGTAGCAAGTAGGGCTGGGTATCGTTAAAATTTTTTCGATATCGATACCTTGACTTCGATACCGTTTCCTGAACGATACTTTTTCCGATACCAATTTTATGAAATAAATTTTAACAAGATTACATTATCTAAAAAAAAAATGCTGGTTTTATTTTTCAGCTTGTTGATGTTTATACAAACTCAAAGAGACTCGTCTCCTGAGCCACTGCAGAAAGGAACAAAATGTAACCAACACAATAAATCAGTGCAAAATAGTTTTAATAAAGCTCAAATAGTCTTCAGTTTACACATCTGTTAGGCTACATTTACACTAGCTAGTGTTCATTTTAAAACGCATAGCTCAGACAGAGTCATGATTTTTATTTATTTTCCATTGATTTACTGATGAGCATTAGCAGCTTCCAGCGCTGTCTGCTTGTGTTCTCTCTTCCATGATCGCTGCTCTGACTCAGAGGTAATAACATATTTAATTTCAGCTACATTACATGGCCAAAACACACATTAGACGGCAGGGCCAGATTTACCTCTTTTTGTGACTAATTTTTGGGCCCCCTTCCCTATTAATATAATAGACCTAATATTACCACCCAAGCAAACAAAAATATTTCATAATCAGTGGCAATTACAGTGTTTTCTATCGCAATAAGCACTTGCGTTCAGTAAATAAAAATCGAATGTAGTTCTTAATTTGTTTGAGAACTGATAGACCATTCCATATAGGCGTGGCGTCGTGGCCACATAACCACTTCGGGAGTGCATTATTGCTCTAATAATTTTAACGGCCTGGAGTC